CAACAAGAGAAACAAAATATCAGAAAGAACCAGGAAAAATGATATGAATATTTTTGTTATTGTCAGTTTGCAGTGATTTAAAGCTGCTAAATCTTCCAATTAGTACAAATTAAATCCATTATTCCCAAATGCCAGTCTGCAAGTTGCAAACAGTTAGAAGAAAGTGTATTGCTGTTTTGAATAAGGCTGGAAATCAAAGAGAACTGAAATATTGGCTGCAGTTAAAGAACAAGCTAAGCTGAAAAACTGCACTTTCATGGTATTATGAATTTTAACCAAGATCCATATGATTTACTGTATCATCTAAAGACAAATTCACCACCATATTTAACTATTCCACCAGACATTTTGGGATGTTTTGGATCAATGTTTTCTGATACTATATAGCTGAGTGTGGTTGAATTGATAGGATGGAAATTTGAGGATCCAGGCGGTTCTACCTTGTCTCATATGGCTTTTAGATGGTAAAGAATTAATAAAAATACAGATTTCCAGAAGAAGAAATGGAACTGAAGAGGGGTCTGCAAAAGGTAGACCTGACGACTGCAATGAAGAATCATGAGTTGACTGGCTTTCCAGATAAAAGAGAACACCAGAATCATCTACAAATGCTCCACAGTTGCTCCTTGCAAAACAGAAGTCTCTGGAAGGTTTTCAGCACTGGGAGATGAGGGAATAGTCATCTTCTTCAAACTCTGACCAGCACCATTAAAAGGACACTATGTCCACATACTTCTTTTTCTAGTCAAAAATAAGTTTTTACAATTATAAAAATGTGGTTTTGAGTTAATAAATAAGATTTTAAAAACTGGACACTAGAGGAAATTAAAGGTTTTGATTAAAGCAAAACACACAAACCTGATTAACAGCTACAAACTATAATAACATGGGTAATATTGAAGGATACTTTAGAAAAAACAGCCATAAATTGACATCAATAATGTCAACAGTGTTATTGCCTTTATAGCTAGACTGTGAATGATGTTATGGAAGAGGAATAAGTTTTTCCTGATAAGAAAAACACTGACTGGAAAGTAGATTTACCAATGACAGGATACAAAAATAAAAAAAAAGTTACACTGGACATAATAAAGAAACTGCCTGATATGTTAATAATTAAAAGATATATACAAACAATAAATCAAAAGAATAACCCAGATAATTTTTATATACTGGGTTTACAAAAGAGACTTATTAAAAGCATTAGAGAATCTTGTTAGAAGGAACAAAAATGACATTATTTCAAAATATTAAACATTAAGATTCTTAGAAGTAAAAGGAATGAATATAAGATTGGTTTATCCGATGGTTAAATTAGATATTTTGTTATTTCTGATTACTTAATAAACCAGGACTGAAATAATGATGCTTTATAAATTTATTTATAGAGAAGAGATGGAATACAGGAAGAAGAGTTCATTTGTTATAATTTAAAAGGAGGTGAAAAATCATTAAAACTGTTTATCTTTTTGTGATGAAGTTTGGAAGTCACTTCTTTATATTTTTTTATTTTTTTATTTTCTTTTTATTCTTTATGTCTTTCCTATTTTTTCTTTTCCCTTTCCATCTTTGACTTTTTTATTTTTTCTTTCTTTTAGTTTGTATTAGTTTTTACTACTGTAATTATAATCTTTAATAAAACTACTTAAAGAATAAAAACACCATTCTTTTATACAGTTAAGAATCCTGTATTTTTTTTCTCATCTATTTTATTCTAAAACTACATTGTCCAATCAGATCTCTCACCCCTTTTTTATGACCCTGTGATCCCTTTAATTCAGGTAGAGTCAGGATGATTGGATGGAGCTGAATATTTACTGGCCAGATGCCCTTCGTGATGCCTATGTGGAGTTCAGAGTAAAATTCTTCCTCTGCGCCCTAGGAAAGATCCTCTATCTAAAATTGAACTCTCAATTTTCTGAGTGGGAGGTGAGCATCTTCACCATTATGCTGCTGATTGCCCATTCAGTTCTTATTCCTTGTAAATATATTTGGTTTTGATTTTTTTTAGAAATTCATACAGGTTATGGAAGCACAAAGCTAAATAATTAAAGGCTGGAGTTTTTACTCAATGAACTTGGATACCACTATTATATAGCTAATGTTCTTCATAATATATCACCGTATATGAATTTAGCCTGGAAACGGATGACCAAATAAATGGGAGGACTGGAGGAATCTCCATCACCTGGGTACCTTTACTGTTGTGAATTATCAAAGCGTTGCCTCTCTCAAAAGAGGAACCTCCAAAAAAGCACGAAGGCACTAATCAATTACACTTTGAGGTAGAAAGAAAATAAATTACCTTCTGAGGTAGAGGGAGAGGCATTGCTAATTCCATTTTTCGTGGTCTGCAAATCTCACAAGGTCTTATTTGGCACGTAGCTGCCTCATACCTCTTCAGCAAAGACTTACAAACTTCCTCTGCCTATGTCAGTGATGGCTAACCTTTTCAGCTTGGTGTGTCGAAAATCAGGAAAAAGTGTAGCCTTCCTCGGATCGTGTGTCACTTCAAGAAATATCAATAATTTGGTTTATGATGGACTGGGCTGGGGTGATCACACAGGGCTGTGAAACTCGTCTCCCTGGTCTCAGGGCTGCAGGTGCAGGATGTGGGGATCGGAAGGCCACCTTACAGGGCTGTGAACCTCATGGATCTCCTTTCCTCCTGTAGCGTTCCTGAGGTAATGAAACTGACAAACCTCAGTTTATGGCAGTTAAAACTGGTTCTCTGCTGCAAAGATCTTGCGGCACCAGTGACACCACGCCTCCACGCAACAAGCAGGGGGCAGGGAGCACAGGCAGCCTCTAAATGTGCAGGTTTTCCCCACACCAACAGGCGTGTTAGTCAAAGTGCCTCGGCGTGTCACAAGTGACACATGTGTCATAGGTTAACCATCACTGGCCTATGTGCTTTATTACACACAACCTCCCGCTTGCGCACTATTATACAGGCTTTATATAGGCAACACTCTTCCCTTTCTTGTATCTCAGAGCTGTGGAAACTTTTTCGCTGTTGTCTGTCGATTGTTGTGATTAACATTTCATGAGGAACTTATTAAGCCTGCCAGCGGAGCCCTTCCCACCACAAAATTGCTGTGTTAACTCATCGCGTTGATTACAACAGAGTTCTCCAACCTTGGCAACTTTAAGACTTGTGGACTTCAACTCCCAGAATTCCTCAGC